GACGCCGAGTTTCATAGCATTTAACGCGAGTTTCATAGCATTTAACGCGAGTTTCATAGCATTGACGCCGAGTTTCATAGCATTGACGCCGAGTTTCATAGCATTGACGCCGAGTTTCATAGCATTGACGCCGAGTTTCATAGCATTTTTAAAATACTTTATTTGTTAATATTTCAATTAGCAAGAAGTCAATGTAAATTCAAATAATCCTGTTTAGGATTATTTGCCGGGTTTTGGTAGTGTTTGATCCTTATTTTGATTACGGTAACAATTGATATAATCAATCAACTCCTTTATTGCCCCTGATACATCTCGCTCAGTCCTGTTTTGGCTGTCAGGAGCGTGCACTTGGGCCACACCTTTAGCCAAGTGGTCGTAAAGAGCTACCTCTATGACTAATCACTGGTCATCGGCAATCAACCGGTCCTTACGATCACCGGTCGGTGCGTCGGACAGAGCCCTCTGGACTGCCTGATCATTGGCCACCAACTGAGGGCGTATGGACTGTAGGTTGCCGTATATACTATGTGCTGACCGGTCGGCCGCCTCTTTCAATCCGAGGGCGACCTTAACGGCCGATTGACTGCCATTTTGGGCCAATTCAGTAAACTCTTGGCTCAGTTGTGCCAATTGGTCAATTGATTGTGGGTCCCATCGATAGGCTCTCTATGAATGCAAACACTTTCAACCGATCGCACAGTGAGAGCACCGGTTGTCGGCCACCAGTGCTCGACAGGTATGACATCTATATTGAGTTTGGCTGATGAGCGATTGATGAGATCAAAGAGGATCTAATAATAAATTGGTAAGATTTATAATGCGGTCATGACAGATTTATCTTTTCAAAGTAAACGTATATTTTTATTCATTAGTTATTTAGTAAGTGTTTCTCAAAAGCAATAATTAGAAAAATAATTTATTAACAGATTATACAGATGAATATGAAATACTTTGTCTGAAAATAATAGCTGTGTTTCCAAAGTTTTTCACATTACTTGCTTTAAAATTTATCGTATTTCAATGACAATACTAATAGAATAGGTATTATAACTATTTTATATTTACAGTTATAAATAGTAAATAAATAAAAGTTAGTATTTTATATAACTCATATAATTTGCATTACATATTGGATAAACTAACCATAAGATTGTAATTAATATAATGGATAATATGATTTTTAAATATATACCATTTAACATTTTATTATTGAGTTTTATTGAAGCTGTAAATAATTTATGAAACAATAAAACTATAGTTATTATCTCTTTATTTTCAGTTAAATCTGTGTTTCCATTGCTTTAACTGATTATTGCAAGTCTTACCACAAAATTTACTCCTATTAACAACTCAATTATTTATATATTTTATAAAATATTTCTCCATTAAAAATATCATAAGAATTGAATTCAAGTGTTAATAACGAATCAATTATTTTTATATTGATTTAATAATTGTTTAGTGAAAGATCTCGTTTTTTACAAAATTAAATGTATATTGATTAAAAATTTTATAATATTTTATAATAAATAATGTTGCAATTGTTGAATAACAATATTTCATATTTATAGTTTAAAATGTTCTAAAAAATAATTCTTATTACACCATATATTAAAATTAAACATACTGATAACAATATTATCAACAAAATGGCTGCTAATCTATCAACAGAGAATAAGTGAAAGGTAATAATTGTTTAGTAATAGATCTGATTATTTACATAGTTTAAAGTATAATTAAGTAAAAATTTTAATATATTTTATAATAAATAATATGTGAGCAAATGTATAATGATAATATTTTATATTTAAAGTTTACAAGGTTTTAAAAGTCTATAATTATTACCACACCTTAAATTAAAATAAATAATAATAATATTAGCAAAATGGCTACCAATCAATCAACAAGTAATAAATGACAATTTGTTTGAACTTATATTTTAACATTTATCTTGTGTTTAAACACCTTTTAGTTTCTAACCAGAAATCAAACTTTTTTGACGATAATTTCCAAAAGTTGTCACATATAGGGAGGGGTGGGTTCGGAGAGGTATATCACGTGAGGCACAGTATTGAAGGGGAAGAGTACGCGGTAAAAGTTGTCAAGTTCCTTGGTAATTGTACAATTAATTTATAGTTAATTAGTTTGTATTTAATAAATATTAATAAGAAGTTTGTTTTGCAGACATTTATGGCGATCACAAAAGACAGGAAATATTAAAAGAAGTGCAAAATTTAGTTAAATTGCGCTCAGATTTTGTAGTCAATTATCGCAACTCATGGCGTGAAGACAATCTTCTTTACATTCAAATGGATTTTTATACACAAAATCTACAGACGATTATCGATAATAAGCACATTGTGTTTGGGAGACAACCGGAAGAGCCGATGAAAGTATACGAGTATTTTATTTCTTGTGAAATACTTAAAGAACTGTTAGAGAGTGTGAAGTATTTACACGACTCGTGTCCACCAGTTATCCATCGAGACCTCAAACCGTCAAATGTTTTGATTTCACAAAATAGTAATAATAATCGGTTTCTAAAACTTTGTGACTTCGGTTCCGCCACTTTCCACACCATGACATCCATGAGCCACACTTCTAATGTTGGAACTTCACAATATATGGCACCAGAAGTATATCAGTCTAGATATACCATTAAGGTTGACATCTATAGTCTGGCAGTGATTGCATTTCATTTGTTTGATTTATTTAATATGTATGTTTAAATTATATTTAATTTTATTCAATATTCAATATTATATTATAATTTATTATATTTTCAAAAATTTTATTAGTGAAAATCCAATGGAAAAATACAAATCAACCGTATTTTCAGTAAATTTTGATAAATTATTTGCAATAATTCTACAAATGTTTCACTCAATGGCAGACAATCGGCCGACCAGTGGTCGAGTACTCGACGACTATAATGAGTGGTCAGTCGATAGACATATGATTACAGCAAATGTTAAAACATTCAATGAAATACAAAAAGCACTAAAATCTAATGAAAACACATTTTTTAGTGAAATTTTAAATTGGAAATTATATCATACTCATATTTTCACAGATAATAATTTAAATCACAAATCGCGTGATCGTTTAGATGACGATAATAAGACAAATGCAGTGAACAAACCTGTGGTCACTAAAAGAAATAGTGTTTTGAATACGAAGGTCGAGAATATGTCCCAAAACGAGGAAACGGTTGTTAAACTTAGAGCCGATGAGGAGAGGGACAGACGTGTGGAGCGCGAGAAACACGAGATGAAGGCCTCGACTGCGGCCGAAAAAGAGAGACAACAAGTGGTGACTAAATCGGTGGTTAATTCCGAGTCCGACGCAGAGAACCAACGATCGGAGTCCGTGAAAACTGCGACTCCGAGTGATAATAGCGGGTCGCCGACAAGACTGACCGCTACGGCACTGTATGACTACACAGCGGGCGATCACGATGGAGATAGTTTGAATGAAATTAGTTTCGATCCCGATGAATTGATCACTGATATAGAGATAATCGACGAGGGCTGGTGGATTGGGAGGTGTAGAGACAAAGTGGGACTCTTTCCCGCCAATTATGTACAAATCAATCAAAAGGCTAAATCAGAAGTCACTGACAAAACGAATGATATAGAAATCGCATCGATTGGTGGCAATAGTCTAGCAATTGATCCCAAATATAAGTCTTTTGATAATAAAGTAGACATTAATTGTATTCAATTATTTCACGTTTTCGATGACGAGAATGGGTTTAATATATTGTTTGCAACGAATAATAATATGGTTTACGGCATGGGATCTAACTATTGGGGAACACTTGGATTGGGACACGACATGCCTGTGAATACACCACATATTATACCAGAATTATGTCTTAAAAATATACAACAATTCATATGTGGTTATAATTTTGTTTTATCTATTGTTGACAATAAGTGCATATATGGTTGGGGCAGTAATTCAAATGCACAGTTAGCCCGATCACATACGGGTGAATACTTAAAACCTGACATCATATCATTGCCTAATAATCCCGATATTTGTAATATTAGTTGCGGTGCATTTCACTCACTTGTTGTCACCGGTGATGACTGTGTCTACGGATGGGGCGATAATAATTATGGACAATTGGGTTGTGGGGAACAGCAACTTAAAATAATAAAAACGCCCATGAAAACAGAATTCATAGACAATGGGATTGAATATAAAATACGTGGTGTTTATTGTTATAACAATTCCTCATTTGCCGTCACAATTGATGGCCGAGTTTTCAGTTGGGGTCAAAATGAGTGCCATTTGGGACATAAAATAAGGAATAATATATTCAAACCACAAATTATTGATGATTTATTTAACATTCAAACGATTTGTTCAAATATGAGACAAACCTATTTCCTTATGAACGATGGATTTGTGTATTTTTGTGGTCATTATATCAACGATAATAAAGACAAATCAATTCATAATTCAGTGACAAAATTATTTGTTAATGAAGGTGTCACCATAATGAATTTATATCATTTGAATTCGTGGAAAAAAGCATTGTTCTGGACAATTTGTAAATCAAGTAATAATAAAATATATACTACTAATTCTACATTAAATTTGTTTGAATCTAATTATACAAATGTTTTCGAATTCTGTTCTGAATTACAAATGACTTATAAAACAATACATTTATGCGATTATAAAGACTATAATTACGAAACGTATGAAAAATTTAATGAAAAATTCAAACATTTTTTAGACAACATTTGCCAAAAAAGTAATACTATTGATAATACTATTGACATCCATAGTATTAAGTTATTTCGCGTTTTCAATGACATCAAAGGGTTTAATATATTGTTTGTGACAAACGATGATATGGTTTACGGCATGGGATTTAATATGGGAGTCCAGCTTAAATGTATAACTATACTTTCTGATTCTTGTTTTCTGTTCAAATGCAACGAAATGTAACATTTTGTAAATATGGTTTACGGCATGGGATCTAATTATTACGGATCACTCGGTTTGGGACACAATAGGGCTGTCAATACACCACAAGTTATACAAGAATTATGTCATAAAAATATACAACAATTTATTTGTGGAGTGAATTTTGTTTTGTCTATTAATGATAACAACAACTGTATACATGGTTGGGGCCGTAATGATGTGGCACAGTTAGCCCGATCACCTAATCGTGAATTCTTAAAACCAGACATCATATCATTGCCCAATAATCCTAATATTCGTGACATTAGTTGTGGTGATTGTTACACACTTGTGGTCACCGGTAATGACTGTGTCTATGGATGGGGTTATAATAGTAAGGGACAGTTGGGTTGTGAGGAACAGCACTCGACTGTAATAATAACTCCAATGAAAATACAATTCATAGACAATGGGATTGAATACAAAATACGTGGCGTTTATTGTTGTTATTATTCATCGTTTGCCGTCACAACTGATGGCCGAGTCTTCAGTTGGGGTCAAAATCAGTACCATTTGGGACACAAGACATGGTCTGATGTATTCAAACCACAAATTATTGATAATTTATATAACATTCAAACAGTGTGTCCGACTGCTAGTCAAACCTTTTTCCTAACAAACGATGGATTTGTTTGTGTTTGTGGCCGATATTTAGATGATAAGTTTAATTCAAGGTATACCCCAGTGGTTAAATTATTTAATAATACAAACTTGAACGTCCTCAATTTATATGCTTTCTATTCATTGAAAATTGATACTTATCGTGTAATTTTCTTATCGAGTGATAATAAAATACACGAAATTAATTCTTTACTTAAATTGTCTGAAACTAATTATACAAATGCTTTTAATTACTTTTTAAATGAATTAGAAGTAACTTATAAAACAATAAATTTTCGCGATTATAAAGATTATAATTACAAAACATATAAAAAATTTATGGAAAAATGTGGCTATATTTTAAACAACATGTTTTTTACAATAAATATATAATTTGTATAGACTGTTACAAAATGTTACATTTCGTTGCATTTGAACAGAAAACAAGAATCAGAAAGTATAGTTATACATTTAAGCTGGACTCCCATATTAAATCCCATAGGGTGGGAGAGAAGAGGGACCTCATGTTACTATAAACCACAAACATATAAAACATTTTCATAGCTGAATTGCGGTTCTTTGCAGTGCGAAATTTAATTCATGTACAAAATAGATGTTGATTTATTGTAAATCTTGTTATTTATTGTTTTAATTATAAAATAATTATATAAATAACTTTATAATTACAAACTGCAATAATTATGTGCCATTTAAACTTATATTTTAAAATTATAACATATAATGTAATTAAACATGATAAAAAATACATAAAATAAAAAATTAAAAAACAATTTTAAAATCAATTTGAAATATACATGTTTATCTTTCAACATTTTTTATAGTAGCGTTAATACCGAAATTATAAGCATTGTTTCAAAGCATTTGACGCGAGTTTCAAAGCATTTGACGCGAGTTTCATAGCATTTGACGCGAGTTTCATAGCATTTGACGCGAGTTTCATAGCATTTGACGCCGAGTTTCATAGCATTTGACGTGAGTTTCATAGCATTTGACGCCGAGTTTCATAGCATTTGACGTGAGTTTCATAGCATTTGACGCCTAATAATTGATGACATCAATGGCTCATAAATGTAATGTTTTGGTCAAAAACTGAAGTATTTTTTAGTGTACACATTTTGCCGACTGTACTGTAAAAACATACACATGTAATCACAAATTAATTTTATAATTCAATTGGTTTTAAAACAATTTCATTTTTATTATGTATTCAATTTTGATATTAATTAATATTAATTGTAGATTAAAATGAATTTTACATAAAAATTTAAGAGAGAGAGAGAGAGAGAGAGAGAGAGAGAGAGATGAAAAAGAGTAAACAATATACAATACAACTTATTTTAAAAATGTTTTATTTATTAGATATTTTTAATTAGTAAGAAGTTTATATAAATTTAAATAACCCGGAATAGGATTATTTACCGGGATGTGGTAGTGTCTGCCCCTTATTTTGATTACGGTAAAAATTGTTATAATCAATCAACTGCTTGATTGACCCTGATACATCTCGTTCAGTCCGGTTCTGGCCTTCAGTGGCGTACACTTTGGCAACACCTTTAGTCAACTCGTCGTAAAAGGCTATCTCTTTAACTAATCGCTGGTCGGCGGCAGTCAATCGGTCCTTACAATCACCTATCGGTGCGTCGGACAGAGCCCTCTGGACTGCCTGTTCATTGGCCACCAACTGCTGGCGTATGGACTGTAGGTTACCGTATATACTATGGGCCGACCGTTCGGCCGCCTCTTTCAATCCGAGGGCGATTTTAACGGCCGATTGACTGCCATTTCGGGCCAATTCAGTCAACTCTTGGCTGAGTTGTGCCAATTGATCGCAGCCGCCGGTCATCACATACTTGACATCTTGTGCGATATCATCGGCCGCATCGATAACACTGTTCGTATCTGCCGTCGCGTCCGCACCAGTGGTTAGAGTGTCGCCCAAACGGGCGGTCAGTGTCCCGATGTGTGCCGTTTTGCCGGCGATTGATTCGCGGGCCGAGTCGTCCACTTGAGTGGCCAACGATAGTATGCGATCGTATATGGATTGGGGCACCGGTTGGCCGCGGGTGTAGAAAAAGTGCAATTGTTTTAGCGCTAAATCAAGCTGGGTAATTAGGATGGTGCTTTTGACGTCGTAATGGTACGCGTTTTGCACCTTGGTCACTTCATCGTTCACTTTGTTGCCTACGGTTCCCACTCCCAACTTAATTTGGTCCACAACATCAAACACGTGACCCAACCCATCGTCGATCAAGCTCCTTTTTGACAGAGCCTGTTTCCCTATTCAAATAATATAACATTTGTTTTATTCATTCAAACATTATAATTTCTAATTTACATTGAGCTAGCTCTTCTTTAGGAAAATTGATTAGAGTGTCCACAACACCAGGTATGCCGCCATTCAAACCAGCTAGGATGTTTGCTCCAACTAATTAAAATAATAAAGTTTTTATTATTTGTGTAATTTTTTTTAGCTATTATTTTATACTTACGAATAGTCAGGTATTGGCCAGAAATGCAAGTGCTTAACAGCACCAAAAAGCATAGTGTTTTAATCATAATTAAAGTTGTTTAGTTTTAATTCAATTTCAATAATAAATAATGTTATTTAATTATAACTAATGTTATATTAAAATCAATATCTGACTCTTATTTACAGTAATCGTAGCTTTTATACTAAAAATATGACAATAATTAATTGAAACGACTATGGTGATTTATTAAGTCACATATGGTGGTTGGTTAAATTAAATGTGTTGTAGTTGTTTAAAAAATATTTATTGATTAATTATATTGTAGGATTCGGATGTAATTAATTGTTTTGATTGAATATTGTAATGTATTGAGAGTTATCTGAACACAATAATGTGTTCACAAATGAATGTTTATGAATTGAATGATAAATACAAATTCCTATCCCTTTACACAT